ATATGGAATTTATTTCTGATGTTCTTTTTTATCAGTTGATATTGAAAATTTTGATGCTTTTTGTGAACATGTAATAATTTTTAAAAACTCAATAATTTATGTTATGTTTTTCCCTGGCATTTACTCATAGTTTAACACAACAAAACTGATAAAGTTAAAATTCATAATTCATCAATAGAAATATTGTAAAGAATAAACATGGGGACTGATAGACCTGTCTTTATGTGCTTTGATGAAAACGTTTGTCTTATGCTCCAAGGGTTACGAAAGGTAAAACTTTATTTCAGCTCACAGTTCACAGAGGTTTCCGTCCATATTTGTCTGGCTCCCGGTGGTATGGGGCACACATGCATGACTTGGGAAAGGTAAGATCATAGATCATGGGAACTTGAGGGCACCACTTCCTGGCAAGTAAGAAAGCTCATGACAAATAAATTAACCTTCCCAACAAAGATTCCCTAGTACTTAGTCGATATAGAAATGGACCAAATCAGATCAGAAAATCCAACTCAGATGAAATGATGGTGCCTCAGAGCAACACTAGCACCATTTGTAAACTCACTGGCCTCACATGAATAGTTATTGTTTAATCCCTGAGCATGGGGATTATACTTTGTTACCCATGAAAAACATACATTTTGGCTTCTGCTGATTATTTGAAAGCTGTTTGTAGAGCTGCCTAAGCGAAGGTGAATGATTACGTGCAAGCCCTATGGTGTGCGGAGAAGGGGTCATGGAAAGAGTGGCATTTAGGAGAGGAAAAATGAAACATTAAGAGATTGAACTGCAGAACTGGTATTTAGTGGGCTTCTGCTGCACGCCAGGCAAAATTTCAAATTCTCTGTTCCACAAAATAGTGCTAAAAGAGAGGTATAAGCAGTGCAGCTCCATATTTTTTAGGTTCACATAGGTAACTGCAGGAGTAGGTGCCAAATATTGCCCTATCTGATTTCTAAGTCTTTTCTAAATTACCATGTTGACAATGTGCTATATCAAAATATGATCTAAAATTTTTACTTGCACTTACAAATGACTTTAGTATAAGTTATATTTTGGCTTTAAGACTTCTCATTTTGCTCATTACTATTTTGAAGGGAACGTAGAAAATATCTTATTGAAGTTAGTGGATAGGTTTATTGATGCACTTTTCACAAAAGCCAAGAGTGTAATTGTCCACTAATTGATAAATGGATACAGAAAACAAGGTACATACACAAATGAAGTAATATCATTTATCTTAAAAAAGATAAAATTATGTTATTTGTGACATCTTCCCCTGGCTATGTTCCAAAATGAATTAAAGGCAATACACTAGTGATACAGTGGCACTCATGTTCATAGCTGCACCATTCACAGTCGCTAGGCTCTGAAAAGGACCTTGATGCCCCTTAGTAGAAGATCAAATAAAGAAAACTGCACGTTATTAGACCATTAAGAAGAACACAGTCATGTTGTCTGTTGGAAAGTCAATGAAACCCAAGATTTTCATGCCAAGAGAAAGAAACCAGGCTAAGAAAGCTGAATATCATATGTTTTATCTATCACAAGAAAATAAAAAATAAAAAATAAAATGAAGGAGATAGGTCCTGAAACCGTAAGATAGACTGTGGAGGTGGGAGGGAGGACTAGAGGAAGACAGGAGGAAAGGGAGAGATGGGTAATGAGATTTAAAATGATCAACATACATTGAATGAATGTAACAAACTCCCAGAAATAGCCTTCTCACTCTATACTTCTGTATGGATAACATACACTAACAATAAAACAATCAGTAAAATGACAACCTGGTTTAACATGATGAGAAAATGGTTGCCATCAGAAGAAAGAGTAAAA